TATGTCGTTCTTCATTAACGTGTAGCTCTCATATAACGGCAGCATAAAATGTTCAATTTTGACTCTAATTCGTATGGGAGCTATCGTAAAGTGGTAATTTGAAGGAAAAATAATTCTGTAAGGTTGTGACTTCGTAAATTTTGGAAGCTATCTTACAACTACAGGTTTTGACATATCTCCCATGCAACGGTGGCCACCAAACGTTTTACCAGTTTCGAGCGAACCCTGGTCTCAAGATTAGGGTATGAAAATATCGGTCAAACTGAAGGCTGTTTCTAATCCTTACAATCTATGTCACCATACTTTCTTCGATATTTTAGAAGTGTCGATCAGTTTTAAAACGCCTAAAAGCAGATACAACAATGCTTATTAATTTCAATATTATCAGTTTATGGCCCAATCTTTCTCGTCTATGGCAAAAAAGATGTAACTTTCGATTACTATTTTTAAAATTTTCTAAGTAAACTAGTTACTTTTCTGATATCGTTTGCAAATGCATAGGCAAAGTGTTTTACTCTTACAACCAACATTTTCGGCATAATTTTAGGCGCTAGATACAATTTTTCAACGAAAAAGGGAACGTTTTGGGTAATAGTGCAAATTATTATATTTGTAGTATATGTACAACTAAGAATATTATTAGTACTTATATAAGACCGTATAGTTAATATATGGTAGTATAGATTTTCCTTTTTGTTTAAAAATTGTTGGGAGCGCTAAAAAGTATGCTTCAAAAATGCTTATTATGCATGTGAAAAAGACACCTGGCATATGACTCTAACATAATGTGTAAACTACACTCCATTATGTTTTGATAGGTAAATATAAAAAACTACTACTAGATATATACACTTTTACAGATGTAATTCGAAACATTTTAATTGTTATTCGTAACAATTCATTTGTAATTCGTAAAATTTCAATTGAAATTCGATAACTCCATTCGTAAATCGAACAATTCAATTATAGTTTGAGAACTTCATTTGTAACTCCTAAAATTTCATATGAAATATTTCATTTGTAATTCATTTGTAATAGCCGAATTATTCTATTTGAAATTCGAGTTGTTTCACTTGTAACTTGAAAAAGAAAATTTGAGGCCAATGCAACAAATAGATTTCTCGAATTACGATTAAACCGTTACGAATAACAGACGGAAGTCTTGAATTACAATTAAAACATTATAAATTACAAAATAAATTCTCAAGTTTCAAATAAAATGTTTCAAATTGCATCTGAAAAAGGTAACGTGTCTAATATGATTTGTTTAAATTGTTTATATTCATTTTCTTCTACGAAGCTGATGGAATATTTACTATCTGCCATCAATAAATAATAATAAAACAAATCACATTCAATCATACAAAGACTATAATACATACATACAAGTAATAAATTTGTATACATACAACATATCATAAACTTTAAACTATCGAGGAGTACAATAATAACAACAAAAACTAATAAAACTACAAATTGACATAAACATGTCGGCACTGTGACGCGCCAAATTAATAACTAACTGAAAAAATGGGGGGAAGAGAGAAACTTAGTTGGCAGAGAGAGAGATGGGACAATATTAAAACAATTGTTGGTCAGAGTTGTTTGTAAATATCCTTTGTGTATACATTACAAATAGAGAAAAACAGTACGTAGGATAAAAAAAGTAAAACGCAAAATATAAGACCGAATATGGAGAGGGGGAATTCATATAGAATTTAGAATAATACTCACCGATTTGACTTGTTATATAAGGTCCCAAAATTGTTCTGAAGCAAGGGGTATCAACATTTACAAACTTGAAACTAGTTAAAAATCTGAAATTTTAAATTAAATCAAAAATGCTCTTGGGTGATCCACGCAATATATTAACTAAAAGGAAACATTTTATAATATAGTCAAAATTAAAGTATATTTTTTATATAAACATAATAAGGGAATTAATAATGGTGCTTTTAAGTATAGTGTGTTCAGGGTAAGACGAAAAAACTGCAACCAACTTCAGACTGCTGTCATTTTTTGTTTTCATTCAATAAAATTAAAAAAAAAAATGTTTGAAAATGGGTTCGACCTTGAATCGAAGTTCAATATGAATATCCAATCGTGATAATTTTTCTAAATGAGGTTTTTGAAATTTTTCTGAACTCACAACTATTTTTATTCCTCCGTTTACCGGAGTCCAGTCACTGTATATACACTATATATGATGTCAGTATATATATTACGAAGAAAAAATGAGTTAGGGGTGATGCATAAGTATTATGATGTCCGAAGTTCAGACTCTATCGGATATGCAAATGTTTCCCAAGGTATATGCTTTTTTGAAAGTTATATACCTTAATGGGAGAACTACCAGAGGAACTGGGACCGAAATATGACGACTTCTCACTAAACATTATATTGAGAGCAAAAATGAGAAAAAATTTACATTTTTTTCAACATTTTGATGTTCTGTGGGATTGGATTTGAAGGTGTGACCCGATGTCTCCGATTTTTATTCTTAGTGTTGGCAAAAAATAAAGGGTGATTTTTTAGCCGTAATCTTTTTTGCAACACTGCTTCAACCCGCTCACGCACGTTTCATATTTCGTTTCACTGTCAAACATCTTCAGTAGTTTGATTTATAATGCAAATAATTGAATTTTATTCTAAAACATCGTGCTCTGTTAAAAAAATTAAAAAAACGAAAAATGGTGTTCAGCGACGATTGGGGGTTGAAGATCAGCAGCATTTCAAGAGCTACCAATACATATAGAAAATAAATAAAAAATAAAGCTTTAGGGTTAATACCCCCCGACATTGGGAGGAAATTGAAAAATTTCAAAAAAAAAAAAAAATTGTCGAAAAATGCCGCTTAAATGAAAATCGCTATATGGGGGCTACTCGAAGACGTGGACCTGCATAAGTAAATTTTTGTCATGGGCTGTAGTACCGATTTGGAACTTCGATAATAATCATAAAAATACCGAATATTTGGATGTACCGTTATATGGGGGCTATACGAAAACGAAGGCCGACGTGGTCCATTTGCGAACTTATCTGCCTACTGGCAAAATACACATATATGCAAAATTTTAGGCTTCTGTCTCATTTCGCTCGAAAGATTGATTACAACAGACAGACATAGGATCCTCCATAAAATGGTGGAGGATACAAAGTTTGCTGCGGTTTATAGAAGTTTGCTGCTGTTTATATTCTGGTGGTATCATTGAACCGTACATCTTCAAAGATGCTGTGAGTCGTAACGTAATTTTGAATGGTGAGCGCCTTCCTGAGATGATATCCAACTTTTTTCCCAAAATACACGAGATTGACTTGCATGATATGTGGTTTCCATAAGATAGTTCGACAAACCTTACATCACATCACAGCGTATCAATGAACTTATGGAGAGCCGAGTTCGGTGACATTTTTTTTAAGTTTTGGGACCGGTTCATTGGCCATTTAGATTGTACGATTTAACGCCTTTAAACTTTTATTTTCGGGACTTCAATTGACGCATTGGGAAACAAGAAAACAAGCATTTATTCTTAAGATACCGGCCGAAATGTTGAGAGGAGTATGTCAAAATTGCACTAACCATTTGAAGCCCAGTCGCGGTTATCATTTTCATGACATAATTTCAAACATTAAATTATATGGACAATAGAGATTTCATGTCGATTTTTGTACTCAATCTATGTTTGATAAAAATATTTAAATGTGCTGTTAGGGCCGAATGGGTTACTGTGCTAAAGTGGCAAACAGTGCCAAAGCGGCAAACAGGCGAACTATTAACCTACCTCGTCTTTAAGATACCTAAAATAGATCTTGTCCAACGAGACTTGATATCTTAAATGGTACACGTTCTGGTCGTATCAAATGAAACTATGAACTAGTAAAAAGCATCATATTGGTCTTTCTTTTTTTCAAAATTTCAATAAGTCAATGGTTGTGACTACATAAGTTTTGATATTTACATACCTGATTCCAAATCAACTCCCCACACTGATTCCTAATAAAGTTCCAGTTAACACAACTTTCGTTTCCTTTTTATACACAAGCACTGCAAGTGACATCGTTTCCAAAAATATTTCATTTCATTAACAAAGATCATTGTTTTTATACCCCCCCAAAAAAAAAAAAAGATTGAACTTTTCCAGCACTCTCATAGACAATTTGGCAATGACGTACAAGTGCATGTGTGTCTGTCTGTGTTTGTGTGTGAACATGTGAAAATGTCAGTTTATTAATATGGCCAAAACTGTGAAACAATCTGAATTGCACCAAAGGTCAACTTCCAAACGCATTCACATTCTAGAGAATCTATTGAAGTGAGTAGTGGTACACCAGCATCACTGAACGACCGAACGACCGCTCGACCACACATATGCAACCATGACCACAGTATTTTCAATTACTACAAATGAATGTGAATGTAAATATTTGCGTCAAATCCACTGAACGAAATGCAAGGGAAATGAAATTGGGTAGCTGGTAGAGGTGCTCAAACATAAAGGATAGTCAAGTCCAGGGGTTCAATGTACCCGAAATCTGCGGTTATAGTTTTACAAGATGATTTTGCACTCAATTTGATTCAGAAAAGTTACCAATATCCAAATAGGCCTATTTGTAAGTGTGGTAGGGTCCACATGTACAACCTCCATCTCAAAGCGAGGGTTTGAATGTCATTCACTAGAAAACATGTCTAAAACACTCTTCCCCCTAATAAGCGAGTGATTTTTTTCAATGTATGTTTAAGACTTTTTTACGGCAGTGCTCTTTTTTCTTTACCAAAAAAAGAAAAACGTTTAGCCTTTTAAAACCTTTAACATTATCATCTCCAGATTATGCCGATGCATTCGTTTAAACACACACTCACACTGGTTTCCTAGAACAAACTATGTCACAAGGTATCTCTTGCAGTCAAACTTTTGTTAAGGATGTAACCTTTGCTCATTATCCTGTTTCGTTCGAATAAAAAATTTGATCGGTATTGTTTGGTTTCTTTTTATTTTTAGGCCGATGCCAGTTTGGGTATGCATGAACGTGAATATGTCCAGGAATCACTAAGCTATGTTCTGCGCATACAAGAAGTTCAGGAACGTATCAAATTTGAATTTGTCGAAATTCTGTTGGCCTTCATTTCCAGTTGGTTAGTCTTCTATCATACGGCACATGAGTCGGCGGAAGATAACAAAGATTATTTGCAGGATCTAAGGCACAAAGTGCAGAAGGTAAGTTTGTTAATAAATGTGAGGTTATAATTATTTGTTAACAACTATTCTTTTTCTTCCAGACTCGCGAAAATTTCGAAGGAACGCGGGAAAAAGTTACTGAACTTAAATTGAAATACATGGAGAAGAGAACCGTAAGTGATGAAAAGAATTGGCCTTGATTGGAAATTTCACAGACATTGTATAAGAAGGCCATTGTGATAAATATTAAAGCAGTTAACACAAAGGGGAAAACACAAAATAGAATAAATTGTCAGTTTCAGCACCACAAAGCTCCGCATAAATCCCGCAAAAAAAAAAAAATCCGTTGAAAATTAATGCCGAAATCATAAAAATACAGAATATAGGGAGTTACCGTTATATTAGGACCTATACATAGACCTGGACCGGTATATGCAATGTTTACGATGCAATTACGATATTCAAATACGAAAGTTGAAACAATTCCGGTGAATAATGTCGCTAAATATAGGGGGCTACCATTATATGGGGGCTATGCGGAGACTTGAACATGTATATGCAATTTTCTATTATAAGCTTTAGTACCCACTAGGAACTTCAAACAGGAAAATTGAAAAAAAAATTATAAAAAAAAGAATAAAAGTATGTACCGTTATGTGGGCTCTATACGAAGACAAGAATCTCAAAGGCAATCTGCGGCCGCAAACGGTGGCATACATTTAGAACTTACAATACTTACAAAACAATTCCGTATGATAATGTCTCTAAAATGATCAAAATGCCGAATATGGGAAGGTAAGGTTATATGAGAGCTTTAAGAAAATCTGGACCTGTATAGGCAGTTTTCTTACATAGAATATAGTACCAAATGCGATCTCCAAATACCAAACAATTTCGATGAAAAGTGTGACACAAATCATCAAAATATCGAATATCTGGAGGTACAGTTATATGGAGTCCATACTAAAACTTGAACCTATATGGTAGATGTACCAAAACGTCGGCCTATATAGCCCTTTTTCAATACCAAAAATCCTGCAGATCTAACACATATCGAGGTAAACCTTTAAACCTACATCATTTCGTTCGGAAGCTAGAGTGATTCCAATAGGCGGACAGACAGATGGTCGAACATCGGTTAGGAAAACCTCAAATTCGGTGTTCGAGCATGGTATGTGATTTAGAACTCAAATTTCGGTATATATATCGGTCCATTTTTGGTAGGAATAACACCGAATTAACAAATCGCAGACAATTCTGTTGATAAATCTTCCCAAAACGTTGTGATCCATTCCAGTATTCCTGGTACCAAACAAAAGCATGATAACTATAAAAATACAGAATACTTAGATTATATCGGAAGATTAGGTATCATTTGAAGTAGGAAGTCTTGGAAAAATTCATTTAAAATGTAGCAATATGTAGAGGTACCATTATGGGGAGGTACCGATGTATCTCACAAGTCTAGGTTAAATGCCACATTTCAGCCAATTCCATTGAAAATGTGAGAACCCTTTTTGGGAGCTTTATAAAAACATGGATCTGTAATGACAGTTTTCTTTCTGATAAAACGTATCCATTACTAACTCCAAACAAAATACAATTCCGTACAAATGTCGAAAGTTCATTGAGGCCTACTATTAGGGCCATACCAAAACTTGGAATTATAGTCACAATTTTCTTATAGAGAGATAGGCACCAACTACTAAATTCAAATAAATGATTTTTAGCAATTGCTTAATAATTTGGCTAGGTCGTCAGAATACAGAATATCGGAAAGTGACGCTCCATTGGGGCTCTGTTGGTATATTTTTCTATAAACTCAAAATTAAAGAATCCCTTATTAAAAATATTATTGCAGTAAAATTTTTAGAAGTATCAAAGGTTTATTTTTGCGGGAAGAATGACTAGGAACTTTTAGAGAGCTAACACTTTTTAATATATGACTACTAAAGAAGCATCAAAATATTTTATTGGCTAATTTTAAACTGAATTCAACAGTCCCTGTTAACGAATTTGTCAACCAACCTCAATTGTCTATATTTTGTCTGTGGAATTCCTTTTATCCATTCAAAATTACAACTTTTATTAACAAAAAACTACTCTTCTTTACAGAAACCAGAGGAAAAGTTTACAAAACGCGGCTATCTTTTTTTGATGGAAAAAAGTAAGTTCTTACAAGCAACATTTGCCGACCGATGTAATGTATATAAAGCACGTGCATACATATTTTCATTTCAAAAATCTAACTGTGCATAATATTTATGTATCGCTCGTAAATTTCATGAATTAAATATAACAATGTCATAGTGACACAGTGGGAATAACTACATTTTTCTAATTTTGGTAATGGTATTCTCATATTTAATTCAATGACAAAATTCGTCTGTGCCCTACATACATTACAGCAACACACATACACAGAGAGTTCTTTACAATTTGTAAATAACTTCTTTTTTAATTTTTCATCTAAATGTACTCACACGACATTAATACCGTAATTTAGGTTCCCTATTGAAAATCTCTCTTTTAGAACCCTTCAAGGCAACATGGACAAAGTACTATTGCACCTACAAGAAGCAGAAGAAGGAGTTTACTATGCTGCAATTCAATCAAATGAATCACAGCTTTGCTAGACCCGAACAAAGAGAAGAGGAGCGGCTAACACTAGTTTCGTGCCAAAGAAGAGCATCCGAGTTTGAGAAAAGATTTTGTTTCGATTTGACATTCAAAGAGAAACCAGGTACCGTCTATACATTCCAAGCCTTGAGTGAAGAGGATCGCAGAGCGTGGATAAACGCCATGGATGGAACAGAGCCGGTAAGTTGATAACAGGAATTAGCTAAAGACAGGTTAAATGAATAATATGTATCCCCTTCTCCCTTAACAGACCTATTTAGCTCCTGGCAAAATAAAAGCCGGCGAAGAATATCAATTGGATGAAGTGGGTTTTGCATTTGTACGCAAATGCATTGAAGTCCTAGAAAATAGAGGTCTAGAAGATGAAGGCATTTATCGCAAGAGCGGTGTGGGTACCAAAATTTCAAAACTTTTAGCTTTGGGCATGGACCGCAAAAAAGCTGAGTCAGTTTTTACCGATGAACAATACCGTGATCTCATGGAAAGTAATACAATAGCCAGTGCACTTAAGACGTATCTGCGCAATCTAAATGAACCCTTAATGACGTATCGTTATCACAGTGGTTTCATTGAAGCAGCCAGTAAGTTTCTATCGTTAAATGATGAAATATGCATTGAATTTAATTGTTACTTTTTTTGTCCATTTCTTATTTTAGAACAAGAAAGTCTTAATCAACGTGTTCACGAAGTCCATAAGCTGGTGTACAAGTTGCCCCAAGCTAATTTTGAAATGCTTGACATGGTCATCAGACATTTGACCGAGTAAGTACCTAAGAAGCAATTTTACTACTAATATTTAATATATTTTCATGGGAGACGCGTGCGAAAATATATAAAAATTAATATATTTTTAGAGTTTTTGTATACCCTTTCACCATTTTTTGAGTAGTCATGTATAGGAGTTCTTGGAACCATCAATCAATTGTTAATTTTATTCATTTTTTGTTAATTTGTTTTAGTGTTTAATTTTAAGTAATTCTTTTAGGATTAAGGATATTATAATAATTTTAGAGTAGTCATGTATAGAAGTTTTTTGAACCGTCCATGGCCCTGTTGGCTAGGTTTCTGTACTAATTGAAAATAAATAAATAAATAAAAAAAATAAATAAATTCTATGGATGGTATATTAACTTTGTCATTCTGTTTGTAACTCCTCGAAATACTTATGTCAGACCCAACAAAGTATATATATTTTAGATCAGCGTAAAATTCTAAGTCGATGTCCGTATGTCTGTCTGTTGTAATCGAAGGTTAAAATTTTGCACACATGTGTATTTTGCCAGTAGGTAGGTTAATTACATAAATGAACGATGTTGGCGCACGTTTTCCTATAGCCCCTATATAAAGGTACCTCCCAATATTCGATATTTCATGATTTAGGTGATATTTTTTACCCATAATTTCGTATTTGTAGTTCGTAATTTGTAGTCAGAATATGCCTAAAAATTTCTTATGCAGGTCCACGTTTTCGTATAGTCCCCGTATAACGGTACCTCCCAATATTCCGTATTTTAATGATTTTGCCAACATCATTCACTCGAATTGTTTCAAATTTGACGTTTGTAATGGGTAGTAAAGTCTATGGAAAAAATCGTATGCAGTTCCACGTCTTCGTATAGCCCCCATATAACGGTATCTCCCTCTATTCGAGTTTTTGATGATTTTAGCGACATTTTTCGCCGGAATTTCGACTAATTTCGTATTTGAAGATCTTAATGGGTACTACAGCCTATGACAAAAATTACTTATGCAGGTCCCCGTCTTCGTATAGCCACCATATAAAGGTCGCCATTGACACGGTATTTTTCGTAAATCTTGAAAAATGTTCATGTTCCTTCCAAAAGGCGGGGGTATTAAAAGTTCAGCCCGGCCGAAACATGATTGCGGTACAAACAGATAAATATTTAGAGAACAGAAAGGTTAGGTGTGGAATAAAAATTAATCAACATTCATAAAAACTATTAACTTTTTCTTCAGACAAGTTAGAAAGTATCAGTCGGTTCAACGACATATATTTCTTCGTAGTATATGGCGTTGGTAGAAATATTGCAATATTTCATCGGAAAATATTTTCGAATTTTATGAGAGATTGTTTAAAATTTCAGCCTATGTGGAATAGGTACCAGAGGCCGAGATTGCTTATATTCCTACCTAATTTAATCTGGTACAAACATTTTATCATACATAGTATTAATCAACTCGAGTAGGGCTGACCGTTATTTCCCATTTCGGCAACTAATTTAAGTCTGGTACGTAGTTTCAATCTATGAAACAATGGTGTACTGTTTTAATATTAGTGGTGTATTTTAAGGGGAAACCTACTGTCCATTTTTGCTGTTAAGCCAACTCTGATATAAATATTACTATATGCCTAGTTTGAACTATATCCGGTACCTTTTTGGAGGAAAAATTGCAGCGAAATTGCCCATCTCTAAGCTCTATCAAAATTTGTTTGGCTCAAAGAGTATACCCTCTTCAGATTTTTAAAAATGAATGACTACTACAACATGTCGAACCTTATTATTTAGTAAACTATTGAAATGCGTATTAAGGTTTTGAATCTATATTCTTCTGTAATTTTTTGGAGTTTGAAATGAAAAATATTTATAGTTTGTTATATGTCTTCTTTATCACTCTCCCTTTTTAATGTATGCATCCTAAACCAAAAATCTCCATTTCCTTTCCCCTACAGAGTCTCTCGTAAATTTGAGAAAAATAAAATGTCTGTCTTCAATTTGGGCGTTGTATTTGGTCCAACATTACTACGACCCCAAGAGGAAACCGTGGCTGCCATATTGGATATAAAATTCAACAACATTGTCATCAATATTCTGATTGATAACTATGAACGTATTTTCAAAAATGATCCCAGTACAGTGAGTACACATCTGCAGAATAATTCCAGTAGTCCTCCGGTGAGGGTACCCCGTTCCAATCAATCGAAACAGGCAATTCTGGCCGGAGGTGGTGGTGGTTCGGTTGGACGTAATTCCATGTACTCACCCCAACCACAAGTCTACCGAGTCGTGGCCAAATCAAATTTTACCGATTCCCCAATGTCTTCGAGTCTTCAGAACATTCCAAATGGCATGATTTATGGTACTAGCGGTGGCGGTAGTGGTGGTGGCAGCACTAATGTCATAACCTCGAATGGCACCAATGGCGGCCATATGTCAACCCATACTTCAAACGGTGGCAGTAGCAGTGGTCCCAAGAGTTTGGGCATGTCCGTCAACATGGGTAGCGTTAAAAATTTACATTCAATGTCGCAGAGCGATATTAGTATGCGTCGTAACAACGCCAATGATCCAGTCTATGGCATTTTATCGTCCAACACAAATGGCGGGCTAACCGCCCATCATGCCACACCGGCCAATGCCACAAATCTGCGGCCTGACTATTTAATGGCCACAGCAACACCAGCCTCCACATCAATATACGGTACGAGTACCACGGGAACGCGTGTAAGTTTAAGTAATGTCTCACCGCCGACCCTGGCCATGCGCAAGGAGGCATTATATGGTGGCAGCTCCGGTGGAATTGGCTCTACCGGTAATGGACCACAACAGCATCCGCCCGTACAGCTGCAGCGCAGCAATCATCTGCCATATGCCCAAAATAAACACTATTCTTCAGCCGCCGCTGCCTCCACATCGAGTTCCAACGAAAGTGTATGTGATTCTCTGTCATCAACGAATGGCGGTAGTGGAGGTGGTGGTGGTGGGGGTGGAGGAACAGGTTCCAGCCGTTACTTATCCGCCCGCGGTTCCATAGATTATGTGCCACATTCCTCACAAGCCACATCACTGTCTACACTGCTGGGATCCCAGGTTGATGATGTGGTAACGGCCACAGCTGCCCCTTCTATGATAGTGGGCAGTACGGGTAGTTCACCAAATGAATATACGCCACAGAAGATTCACCGCAACAAAGATGTCAATCAAATCAAAAGAGATTTGGAAGCGGGTACAGCGTAAGTACAAAAATGAGAAAATGAGAAGAATGTGTGCAATGACTGAAGATGGATAATGTTGTTTTCTCTCTATTTATATTGCAGGAGAGTGCGAACATTATACGCTTGTCTGGGTGAAAGTGAAGGTGAACTATCATTTGAACCAAATCAGATTATTACAAATGGTAAGTGAAAAAAGTTTTCGGTTTTGAGAATGATTACGAGCTATGCAAATAAATTAAATATTAACAAGAAAATGTTTTCAAAAACTCTGAATTCTAAAAATCGGTACAATTTCTAATCATCTACAAAAAGATGGAAAATACAACCCAGACGGAAATATTTTATTTGACTTTTGAAGTGAGTCTTACAGAGACCCTCATGCCTTCGGCGGCGAAAATGTAAACAAAAAAAAAAAAAAACATCCATCTTTTGACTGGCTTCACGCATACCATACGATATTCTACTAAATTGAAAGCAAGGCCTATATCAGGTCGGACAAGAAGATTACTTTTGACAAAGAAGATCAATTTTGGCAATAAACTGTTTGCACTATTGTGATTTGACTCTCTTTAAATTTCAAGTCACAATAAACTTAGTTGGCAGATGGGCTTTCTGCCAGACCTTTTATAGGCCATGACTCAAATAAAATGAATACGAATTTTCTGTTTTTTGTTTTGCGATTTTGCGTCTGGTCAATTCATCCGCCGATTCATTGCCAGATATTTTGCAGGGACCCAACAGAGTTTGACAAACGATTTAACCCTTTTCAGAGCATTCATGCACTCCAGAACTGTATAGATTTGATTGTAAATGAATTTAAAGGTTTCAGGGCCGCTTGACCATCGACATATATAGTCACCGGTCCGTCCAGTTCATTGATTTTATTTGCCAGCAGCTCTATGGGCTTCCTGACAGAAAAGATTTCTGCCTGAAAAACGCTACAGTCGTTGTTTAGTCTGAAAGATCTTTGGATACTTAGACTTTCATAGTAGACTCCAGCTTCCGTTCCACTTTCCATCGTTGACCCATCATTATAGACAGATATACCGTTAAAAGGTAGAGTGTCGCGGGTCCAGATGTCTCTTTTATGTATTTGGATATCAAGGACTTCAAAGCTGTGCGGGAATTTCCCAGCAATCAGCAAGACCACATCGTCGTCGTAAGCCACGACCTTTGTTCCGCCGTGTTCCAGTTCGATTAGAATGTCATTTATAACCAAAAGCCAGGTAGTGGTGGCGGGATGTCTCTAGTGACCGTTTTCCTAACAGAACACTCCCCGATGCTTGAGTTGATGATTCTGGAGTGGTGGTATACTAAGTTTTGCGAGGGAACTATGAATTGCCTCGAATGTGACATTATTGAAGGCTCCCTCGATGTCGAGAAAGGGTGCCAAAGTGAAGTACGAGTTGTTCAGGTTCCTCTGATTCAACAGATTTGCCTTTCATATAGGCATGTTAAGCTGTGCTCAACGAAGTCAAGGGTATCATAGATCTAATCTTAATGACTATTAGTCTATCCAGCGTTTTCAATAGAAAAGACGAGAGACTGATAAGTCTGCATTCTTTTGGAGGTACATGACTTGGTTTCCCAGTCTTGGGAATATAAGTGACTGGAATGTGAGAGAGACACAGACAAACCATGGCGGGAATAAAACCATCCGGTCCCGGTGACTTGAAAGGTTTAATTGAGTTTGTAGCCCACAAAATCTTGGTATTGCTCACAATCCTCTTAATCAGACTTACATCCTCTGTCCCACGATGCTGACTAAACCGATCTACCAATCGGTCATTTACCGCATCGGAGCAGTATTGTACTTGAATTAGTTTTAGAGTAGTTGGACTGAAAGTTGTTTATTTTCAAACTCCCACTTAATGTTATATGTTACTTGTTTATGTACCAGATTGAGTTCTTTTAAATTGGGTGCATATTAAGGAATCTCAGGAATATAGGGAATATCCGTGTTATCCGTGGCATGTTATTTTGGAGAAATTATACTTTGTCAAGTATTTCGAACCTGTTTACTTACTGCTTCTTTATTTATTTCTGATAGAAAAAAATAGGAATAGGAAATAACACATATTCTTAAATTCTTTCACGGTTCACACTGCAATATTGGTTGTTAGACTTGGAATATATTTCCTGCTTTTCTCTTTTTTTTTTTTTTTGAAATGAAAAATATATTGCAAATTTATGATTGAAATTCACCATTAATCTTCTCTTTCAGTTGGCTTTTCACACGAACCCGGCTGGTTGCAGGGCACATTAAATGGTAAAACTGGTCTTATACCAGAGAACTATGTTGAACACTTGAAACCATACCATTAGTCATGTAAGTCTAATCATCAATTATCTTTAGAGAGATGCGCTTAGAAATATTTTGAATTATTTATAAAGAAAATTACAAAAAAAAAAAAACATAGAACCGAAGTAGTAAGATGTGGTCAAAGTGTACCCCACCACCACCCCCCGAAATAAATATATTAAACAATGAATTATTAGAATTTCTAAAAACAAAAACAATTAGTAGGCATACATACAATAACTAAACAAAAAACAACATATGTGATGTTTTGCGAAAATATAAAATTTATGAATTCCCAAATTTTAGTGAAAGATTCCATTGAACGGTCTTAGATATAAACCTACAGCACAAACTAGCAATTCTAGCGGAATTACCAACGAATTGCAATGAACATGAAAATTACTTTATCGAAATAAACACACACACAAAGACACCCAAAACCACAACTACTTGTAAAATTAAATAAGAAAATTTGTTATTTCGGTTTTGTGTATTAACCACTTTTTTTCTAACAACAACATTGTTTTTGATACGATTTTGAAAATCTATTGGAAAAAAAGAATTGAAACCAATCAACCAACAACAAAAATGTATCCTTATTGCTTTACACGCACACACACACACTTTTACATGAAATATGTATGTATAAAATTTATGTAAAATATTATATTATTAATATTTATTTATATATAATTAATAACCTATCTATATCAGAAAGAAATATTGTATGTGTTAATTTCGATTATTTTGAAAAGTTGGCACTTAGCCAAAACAGCCAGCCAGCCAACCAATCGACAACTTGAAATCAACAACCAACCAAATCTATTAATCTACCTACCAATCTACCTATGTATCTACTAGCTATCTATCTATTATTATTATTACCAATGCTATTTATGTGTATCTGTTGTATATCAATGATATTAAACGAAAAATAGGCTTCTTCCTCTAATCTTTATTGTTGTTGTATTCTATGCAGATAAATATTATTATATATTTTTTCTTTTGTCAAATGCCTATGTGAAGAAAGCTTATTTTATTGTCTATTAAAGAAAACAAATACATTTTTGCTATAGAATATACACCAACACACATAAACAAAGTCAGCTCTAAAACGAAGAAAAATAAAAAAAAAAAAAAACAACCACCTAAGATTTTTCTTAAAAATCTTTCTAAAAGATTTTCAATAATTAAGCTTTGCTCCATTTTCAAAAAACAAAAAAACAAATTAAAAATAATAACGCTGTATATTTTTGGAATTTTGTTGCTTTGGTTTACTAAACAAGTTATAAATCTTACTTATAATTAGTGTGTACTGTGAAAACACAAAACAACAAAAATTAATCCTTGAAACGCTTACTTTGTACATATATACACATTTATATATACATATTTACCAATAACTATACTATGTATAACAAATTGTTTGTAAAAAACAATATTACATTTAATTACAACTACAATTATTATTATTTAAAATAAATTAATTTAGAATTTTTATGTTTAATTTTAGTAAATGTAAATGTTGAATGAATAAACACAAACAAAATTTAATTTTTTATTTTTTTTTTGTTTTCAAGAAGTTTAAATAAAATTGTTTTGAAACGAAATCACCAAAATTTGTAAAAATAAAGCCTGATTCTATGCATTTTTATACTGAAATGAAATAAAACTTTGGTGTCTCTGTAGCCCCGGGTCTCTAATTGCAATTTTGAAATCCTGTAATTTAATTTCATTTAAGGCCGTATTCCATAGTTCTACCGAATGAAATCCCAAAAGAACAAAATCGATAATATACAAATCAGAAAAGAGAGTGTGGCAATTTAACGAAACACCGAACTTAAATATCGATCATTTATTACTGGTATTTCTTTTAATCGACCTTCAAAGGGATATAAAATAAACTGCCTTGCAAATAGATTGTGGGAAAACATTAAGAATTTAATTATTATTATTCTATTAATTTTCTATTTAACAAAAGAAAAATTAAAACATTTCTACAAAATCGCATTTGGGGCCGTTTTATGTATCTCGAAAGAGAAACAGCCGTTTTATGTCCGTTTTTATACACTCCACCATACTATTTACGGTATATTTACTTTGTCATTCCGTTTGTAACTCCTCGAAATACTCATGTCAGACCCAACAAAGTATATATTTTTTTGATCAGCGTAAAATTCGATTTAACGATGTCCGTCTGTCTCTGTGTTGTAATCACACTATCTTTCGAACGAATTGAGATAGAAGGCTAAAATTTTGCACACATATTAATTTTGCCAGTAGGCAGGTTAAGTTCGTAAATAGGCCATGTAGGTCCACGTTTTTATATAGCCCCCATATAACGGTACCTCCCGATATTCGCTATTTTGATGATTTCAGCGACATTATTCACCTAAATTGTTTCAAATTTGGTATTTGAAGTTCGTAATAGATACTACAGCCTATGACAGAAAATTGTCTATGCAGGTCCAGGTCTTCGTGTATCAGTATATATATCAGTACCTCCCTATATTAGGTATTTTAACGATTTGAGGTACAATACTCACCGAAATTGTTTGAGATATCGCATTTGAAGTTCGTAATGAATGGTCCAGGTCTTCGTGTAGGCCCCATATATCAGTACCTCCCTATTTTAGGTATTTTAACGATTTGAGGTACAATACTCACCGAAATTGTTTGAGATATCGCATTTGAAGTTCGTAATGGATGCAACAGCCTGTGACAGAAAATTCTCTACGCAGGTGCAGATATTTGGAAGATTTTAGCTAGATGATTCACCGTTTATTCCAAGTTTCGAATTTGAAAATAGTAATGACTTATGACAAACAATGCCTATGTAGGTCCGAGTCGTATAGACCCCAATATAACGGCTATATTCGGTATTTTTAAGATTTTAACAGAATTTTTAACGGATTTTATTTTTTGAAAATTTCCAAATTCGTTCCAAATAGTGGAGAGTATTCAAAGCTCGGCGCGGCCAAACTTACTGCTTTCTAAATTGTTTCAAATATATATTTTTTTTGATTTAATATCAATCACAAAATTTATAAATCGCATAGATTTTGTTTTTCTTTAACATGTTCTTGCTCCTTGCACAATGCAATGCAATGATGTGTCTTTTGTGTGAACTAACTTGGTTTAAATTGACACGTCTTGTGTAGTGTCTCTATAAAAAGAAATGCCATTACAATAATGATCGCCATACTCTCACAAATGATTTTGTATATTCAATGGCATCGAAAAAAGTCAATTTTTTAGGGTTAAAATAAAAGTGCGGTTATTTGGTTTAGCATAACCAAGTTGTCTCCCAGAAAAATTCCAATTTATCAAAATATCTTCCAAAAATTTAACATGACAAGGAGCTGCTTAAAGTCTATAAAAATACTAGTCTCTTAGTTAATCAAAACGTAAACCGAATAACCCTATCTTTATTTTAACAATAATTTCTAATAAAACTGCGCCATTTTTTGCCAATATTTGCATTACAAATAAAAAACACCAAAAACAAATGAAAACACACAAAATACAAATAATACCCAAAAAATTTTGAAAGCAGCAGCATTTTCCTTGAATATGAAAATTACATGTTTAAATAGAATGACTAACAAACAACATTTACACCGAAACGATAAACAGCAAATTACAACAAAACAAAGAAAACAAAATTAAATATTGAAAACCAAAATAAATTTTTATACAGAAAAAGAAAATACGACTTACATTATAAAATGAATTACATTTTTTAAGATGACGATGATGACGACGACGACGAAGAAGAATAATTAAAAGATATGAAAAGCTAAAAACAAGTATTTTATAAATCGTTTATTGTGATATTTAAATTAATATTCTGTTCAAAAGAAAATGTAAAACGAATGAATATCCAAAACTACTACCCCTGCCCAAGCAGCCAAATTCAAAGGAACGTTGTTTCCTAAACCCCCAACCAATCAAACCTGCATTTCATTTCATTCCATTTTTGTTTTTTGGTATTTTAATTTTTATAAGCAAAGTCTTTAGAAACCCAGAAAAAATATATTTTATAAAACTTTCAACTTGCCCATGGACTGAAAGGCCCATGTGGTGGAAAAACCATATTCCAACCTTTACATCCTTTCTCTATGTTAATTATCTTGTGTATTTGTTGTATATACATACATAAACAAACAAACTTATTTTTGTTAATTTACACATGTATACACCCCCCTTTAATTAATCAAATTTTATTGTACCATATAAGTTTATATTTTACATAATAATAAATTATCAAAACACCTTTCCATATGGATAAAATTGTTAGCACTTTTTGTTTGAAAGCACAACAAAAACAACAAATTTATGAAAAATTGCCTTATTAATGAATATTTGTTTTTAATTTTATAAGATTTTGAACTAAGTATCAGATAGCTACCTATCTATCTACGTATGTGCATTTTGTAAATATATATGTTTATTAATTATTATTATTATTATTAAATTTATATTTTTCCCTTATTATTTCAAATGTAATCCTGTACATTTTATCGAAAAGAATAAAAAATATTAAATAATTTAATAAAAACACACTTTATTGTTATTTTTATTTATTTCTATATAAGGAAGTTTTGTTTGGTTTTGTCCTCAATGCCCCAATGCGACTCCCAAAAGATATATTTATTATTTTTTTTAAATGAAACAAACAAACCAACCAACCCACATGCCACTAAAAATATACATATACATATTATAATGAAAAAATAAGAAGCAAAAAAAATATATAAATAAATATTCTATTCTATATTAATGTACATTTTTAATGATAAATATCAAGGAAATAATAAAAAATTGAATAAATGAAAAAATCTAGTTATTGTAATATGTGAAATAAAAAAAAAACACAAATAAATAAACATAATGGAATAAATTATATAAACATGCGTTTTATATTTTATTTGGCTACCTTTACCTTAGGATCTGATCAAAGTTTTACAAAAGTATTCATGTAGGAAAAAATTTGGAAAAAGAAGTCGGACTCATCATTAATTTTTGCATTTCATACCATTCCATGATTTTTCAGCCTTTAATGGATATGATAGCATATGTAATAGAGCCTTTGCTACATTTGGCCAATGAGCCCTGAACTATTTTGGGGTTGTTCACTTGACATTTCCCACAACTCAGACTCCCTATTGTGCAGTGAAATAATAAAAAAATTGCAGCGAATTGAAAAAAAACGTGGTACATTTTTCAGAAGTAATCAAGGTTTTTTTTATCCACAAAAATGTATGCCATTTCTTTTGGCTTCTTTTTGGTATTTGACTGGGGATGAATATGTGTTAAATGATCAATAAAGCAAGCTAAAGCGTATCAGTCGGTTTTGCCGACAGATGCATACCTTCAGCCAATGTTCGATGATTTAAATATATTTTGACTTCTATTATGATTATTCAAATTGTTGACCCTCTATGGAGTGGGTTTCGAAGGAATGGACCAATATTGTCCATTTCGTATCGGACCTTATTAAATATAGAAATATTGCGAAGTGCCAGTTTTGGGCTTCAATTTATAGGATATATATAATAATTCTTATAGTTAAAATGTGCGTGAGGTACCAGATATAGTCAATCGAAGTATTTAATTTTCACAATTAACCTTATACATATATATTGGACTGGGCAAAATTACAAGAAAATCGAACATTTATATCCAATTTTGTCCGAAATCATAAATTCCATATTCATCTTCATTTTATGCTTATTTCATTTTCGCCATGTGGGGAAGTACAAGAAGAAATGGTTCGCTTTCTACTATCTTTATAACAGATTTTGTGTTGAAAGAAATATTGAGATGTGCCAAGTCTAAATGAAATCGAATATTAATTTCGCGTTTTATGATATTCATGGATATTCAAACTTTTAGCCCTTTGCAGGGGAGGCACCAGAAGGAGTAGAGCAATATTGTTTTCATTTTCGTACCTGACGTAACACTGATGGAAATATTAGGATTTGCAAAGTGGAAGCAAAATTTGATTATCCGTTCTCTTTCCATGCAATAAAATATTTTTTGAAAATTTCGAACTTTTGGGGGTACCAGAAGAAGTGGACCGATATTGCACATCTCCCAACTCGATCTAAGTTTGAAAATAATATTACGATGTACGAAATTCGGACAAAATCTGATACTCCCTTCGAGAGTTATCGTGCGCACCAGCCAGACAGACGAACGGACATTGCTAGATCGACACCAAATGTCCTGAAACGGATTTGTTCCAAAGTGACCTAGGGTCTAAAACATTTATTTTGAAATGTCACGTTTTGGCCGTATCAAATAATATATACCCTCTCTAGCCATATGGCTGAGAGAATAAAAATCAAACACTTAATTTTAACTTTTAGTATTTAAGTTTCGAATGGGAGAATGAGATTTGCAGTAAATATTTCCGTAAAATACATCTTATTTAAACACCTTTCGCCTTAAAGAATATTTTATGTTGTTTACAGGTGTCTACTCAAAAAACAAAGTCAGAGAAATAAAAAAAAAAATCGGGAAATATTTGGGGACATTGATGCAAATATTTTATTTTATTTTTTTTTGATATACAATGAAAAAACATTTCTTTTGTAGCTTATAGTGAAATTTGATGAAGAATATTTTTGTCTGTGACATCGTCCTTCCAAAATGATGTTGTGTAGGAAATTTTTCCACATATTCATACAAAGTATGGCTTTAACCTTAAAATGAGCTTTTAATATAAATGAATTCGAATGAAGTCTTCCAGGATCTATAGTACAATTTTATGAAAATTATTTTGTGGAATATTTTGACTTGCTGTGATTCCGTTTTAAGGGGGTTTTAATTATACTTAAGAAACTGACCTAAAACACCCCTTTGTTAACTCGTTTGGGGGTTAAGATTTCCTACCAAAATATTATTCATATTTATATCTGCAATATTGCCTACATACCTAAAATGCACGGATTTCGAGGAATCTTTATCAGAAAATTCCCAAAACTGTGCAAGAGGGGGAACTTGTCCCCTCTGTTTATTTTACTTGGCGATTTGAACTTTCAAAACGCCGATCCACGTGTCTTCTTTTTTAGCTCTACTTTCACAATCTGTAATTGCACGGTGCAATAAGGAATTGTCTGCCTTGCATAGTACATATATTTATTGTAATATGTATACATACATTATAACGTTTAATTATAAATCTGCGTGTGAGAGGTACAAAAAAGACTAAATCCGTTTTTTAAAAAAAAGTAAAAAGCTTGTTTAAAAATATATTTTCACTCATTTTACATTTTATGACAGCTTTTACTTTTCATATTCTTTCAACAATTTTCAAAAACAGATCTCCACAAAAACTAAATATCCGTTTCTTGAACCTTAAGCTATTCGTTGCGGATGCATTTGCTAAATTTTTGTGTGCTCCATATGTGTAATTTTCGTTTAAATTGAATGAATTTCCGCACATCCGATCGAATTAAGCCTAGAAGCTTAAAACATGTTCAGATATAGCTTTGGTTTCCATATATAAGTTTCATCCGATTTGGTATATAAGTTCCGCACATTCGTTATACGCTATCCACAACAATGATTTTTGGTATTAGATATCAGCTCAGAAATAACTCTACTAAATTTTATCAAGATCGGTTCAGATTTAGATATAGCTCCAATATATATCTTAGATTGACTTCAACTATATTCTGCACTTAATGTGTAATATCAGACCAATTTGGGGGATGTTGGTGGATTTTGACACAATAACCGAATTAAGTTTAGGAGGAAGTGTGTTCAATTTGGTTAAAATCGTTTAGATATATAGCTATAGGTTCCGTATATTTCTTTTAACCGATTTTGTATCTAAGTCCCTCACATACGTAAAATGCACTTAACAATCACAATATTTGGTGCCAGCTATCAGGTCTGCCAAATTTTATAGAGTTCGTTTCAGATTTGCATATAGCTCCCATAGATATTTTCGTCCGATTTCACATTTATTGTGCCCCAGAAGTGTAATATCAGCGCAAATAGGATGGCTTTTTGAAAATCGATTCATATATAGCTATGGCTTCGATTTTAATTTAAGTATTCTTAAAGTCAAAAGACACAAATACCTTTACCAAATTTAGTTGACATCGAATCAGAGCAGGATATATATTTTTTTAAACTCCATTTATTTCGTAAATGGTTAAAATATGGATATATTTTTTTAAATATTTTTACATCACTGTTTTTAAAACCTTTGTGTTCTAGAATACCTGTAGTCGATGTTTCCATTTTAAAATTATAACTTTTGATTTGAAAAATCTAAATTATTACTTAAATTTTTATGGGTGCTGCCTCAGAAAGTTATCGTTAGCCAAGAATACAGACGGTCGGACAGTCGAGCATGACATAGATTGACACAAAATGTTCTAAAACAGATTTCATTCTATGAGACATAGGGCCTAAAACCTTTATATTCATGAAACACATTTTGGCGGCATAACATCATATCTTTATTCGTAGACTGGGAGTTTAAACAAACCCCTGCACAGTGGTCGCTGCCATTGGCCAAAATTCAAAAAATGAAAATCAGATATTTATTGTCAAATGTGTACAAATGAACTCTTAAGGGGCTAAGCTTTTTAGAAAATATTATAATAATCTTGGCTTCAATCTAACGGGACACTTCGAAAATAGCATCAAAAAAAGAGAAAATGTAGTTAGTTGTTTTTTTCAGTGGGATCAGAGAAAAAGTGGAGTAAAAATAGAACTGTATTACAAAATTAAATACATTTTAAAATTACAAATCTTGGCATTATTATTGAAAAGCAAGGTATTAACTTATTTTTAGTGCAGTAATTTGTGTGTTTAGTATATGTGTATAATATAGAAGATGTGAGTGTTCTGAGTTGCCTTTAAGATTAATTTTGAAAATAAAATTAGATTTCAGTTAAAGTTTTAATTGTTTTCCCCCCTGAATCCTCCAATGTGATTTTTTTCACGCCATTAGTAATGGTCCTAAGATTCTAAAAGTGCTAATTTAACTTTCAGATTTTGTCAGATGTGTACGTTATGCCCAATATACTGAAGTGACTTCGCTGCAATTTTGTCAGTTCTATGGTGCTAGTGACATAGAATATGTTTTTGTTGTTAGTGATTGATAGGGATCTAATTGAGGGGTGTTCAATAATGTTGCAAGCATTGTTCTCTGGGTATAATATTTATGTCGAAAATTTTAAGGCCTTTGCACTGGAAACTGCTAAAGAGTTAACAAATTTATATCCATGGCACACAGATCTTATTAACCGTCTTCTTCTGAGCTCTTACCCTTTTATAATGGGCAGCGAACCTTACCAAACAATAACCAGTAAAGAAAGTCTTAAAGTCGAGCTGGACCGACTTCATGATACCCTACACCACTTTGCATATTTAGTAGAGCGTCACATAACAAATAAAGGTTTTAATGGGGAATTTGTGAGAATTAAATCATACCAACAATGATTATAGTAATAATTAAAAGTCCAAAGGAACTAATATATGGGAGGAATATCCTCCTCTGAATCGATATCTATTAAATTTGTTGAGGCATTTGCGTCTTTTCAATTCGGGCTTGTATTATCCATTTGGTGCACAATTAACTTGAAATCGGATAGATATATATGAGAGCTATATCTAAATTTGATTTGGGCTAATATTACACGTTTGGTGTACAATAAAAGGCGAAGATATATATTTGAGCCATGTCCAAATATTAACAGATCTCGATCAAATTTAGAAAAGGTTTTTCTGAGTTATATTTGATATATTTTCCCCAAATATCGTTGTCACAGAGTGCATATTACGGCTGCGGAGGACAAAAATAACAAATCGGATGAACAATATATATGGGAGCTATATATATATCTGAACCGATTTCGATCAAATTTGGCATACTTATTTTCAGGTCCCATCTGGTCGTACGTATATTCCATACAAGTTTGCTGATATTACAAGTTTGGTGCACAATATAAGGCAAATTGGATGAATATATATGGGAGCTATACCTAAATTTTGACCGGTTATATCCAATTTCAAAAGGGCCTTAAGTCAAACTAATTATTTGTGCAAAATTTATCTTTGATTTAATTTTACATTAAATTGTTATTTTATTTTGTTTACAAAAACTAATCAAATTTGGACTTGATTTGTATAAAAAATGCTTCTATTTTTCGAGGTACCTTACAAGGGACTCTATTTGATGGCGGGTTCTTCCAAATAATTTTCAGTAAGATTGTTTTTTAGCTCATTGGAACGTAAAATGTCAAATAACATTACAATCTGGTGTAGAAATGTGACAAGAATTGGGCAAATAACCCTTATTCGGGAGGTACGTTATATGGGGACCATGCCAAAACATGCATCGACCATATCCATTTTGTCACATTTTTTGTATTTATACCATCAAGGTACCATAACCAAAGATTCATATTGATATCTGCACTGAAAGTATTTTTGGCCGCTGTTCCCATACGACCTCGACCACTGTGCCCTGGTGACAACTATTTGACCTACAATGCTGTGTTACTAGCGAAATGTAAAACAACCGCTATAGTTGTTAGTGGAGACATGAATCAAAAACTGTGGAGACTGATATACAGATGGCGCTAAAAGAGGATGATTTATCTTTTTTTTCATACAGATAAATAACGAAAGTAAGTATGGAAAAAATTAACTTAAAACTTATGAAAGTTTTCATTTTTGTTTATTTAATATTGTAAAGAACAATTTTTATATTTGTTTCTGAACGAAATTATATTGGAAAAAGTGGTATAAATGCATCTTTTTTAAACAACTTAGGTGGAGTAATTTTGACATTTAATGTTTCCTATGCAGTTTTATTTTAAAGAATTGCTCATGTGCTTACCATTTTGAATCTGCCTTGAATATTGGTATTTAAAGATAAATGCAATTGATCGGATCCCTGTAGGAAAGCTGGGGTTATACGCCCCTGTGGTACCAGAACACCATAAAATACTGCAATACAGGGTTGCTCATATTCGACGGACCAATCGACGAGGCTTGTCCGCAGGCAACATTCTTTGCGTCAATTGAATTTTGTACGGGAACAAATGCAAATCAATGCGAATAATCCGTTGTAAAGTGTACCGAGCCGTGCCCAACTGCTGAGAACGGCGTTTTTGGGATGTTCTTGGGAACCTCTCAACACTGGCTCGTACGGCAGCGATATTCTCGGCCGATCGCCTTGGTCGACTTTTATATGGCCTCTTCGGATTAGAAAGAGCCTTACCAGTCAAAATTTTTTCGTATAAACGCTTAATGGTGTCCTTATAAGGCGCACTTCTCACATTTTTTTAATGTTTTAAAAGCACGTTGAGTTTTCACAATTGACTTCTTCTGTTGAATGTAAATTTCAACTATTTCAGAGCGCTCGCGTGGCGTGTATTGGTTCATGGTAAAAATCTGCTTGGACTGACGCTTCAAACGCGGTATGTCATTAAGCGATGTGACATCTCTGTCAAAAGTTATGGCGTTGTCAGATGGGTCCGTCGAATATGGGCAACCCTGTATTCTTAGAGAGAGTATTGTTAAAAGAATCCTTATGGGTACGGTCATGCAAATAAGACGATATCCATTTTCAAAAGAGTTGAAGACAAAATATTAATAAATTATGCACAACCGTATCGAAAACTTTACTGAAATCAGTATATATAATATCAGTTTGGAAATTATTTGAGAATCCGGTGTGAACATGACAGGCCAGCTCTATTAAATTTTTCGAAGTTGATCTTCCATTGACGAAACCATGCTGATGTGGTGACATTATAGATGTTACCAAATGATTTGAGCATGGTAGAATGAAGAAGGTAAAGTCATGCAATCATATGTTCACATTTTTTTCAAAATTATCCATTTGACAACATCTCATTTTAAAAATGTATGCTTCCTAATCTATTATACACCCACAAGAAGATATAGTTCATGCTCACATGTATTTTTTTTTGGTTTTCAAAATCGTTTTGGTTAATCCAAACTTTGACCCTTTTTTATGAGGTACCAGAAGGAATGGTCCGATCTCTACCATCTTTATAATAGATCTTGTGTTGATAAAAATATTGAGATGTGCTAAGTCTGAATGAAATCAGATGTTACTTTCGCATTTTATGATATTCAAAATGTTGACCGTTTGTAGGGGAGATGTCAAAAGGAATGGTCCGATATATCCCAGGTTCACAGCGGATCTTGTGTAAGTAGAAATCATGGGATGTGTGATATATGAATAGAACCGGATGCTTATTTCGGATTTTATGATAGTTTTGGTTATTCAAATTTTAACCCTTTGTGGGGGCGGTACCAGAAGGAGTGAGCCAATATCTTCCATTTCAACGCCAGTCCTTTTGTTAATAAAAACATTCGGATGTGTGAAATTTGAAGACAATCGGACACATACATCACATTTTATAAGAGATGTTCTTATTCAAAATTTTGACCCTTTGTGGGGGAGGTACTTGATGGAGTAGACCGATATTATCCATTTTCACACCCAACGTAGCACTAACGCAAATATTATTTGGAGCATAATCGGATTATCGTTTCTCTTTCTATGCAGAAAATAGATTTTTTTAAAAATTTCGCACTTTTGTGAAGGAGGTACCAGAAGGAGTGGACCGATATTGCCAATCTCCGAACTCGATCTGATTTTGACAAAAATATTACGATGTATCAAGTTTGGGCCAAATCTGATACTCTCTTCGGGAGTTACCGTGCGCACCAGCCAGACAGACAGACAAACGGACGGACCTCGCAAGATTAACTCCAAATGTTCTGAAACGGATTTGGTCCAAAGATACCTGGGGTATAAAACCGTTATTTCGACTAGGCACGTTCTGACCATATCAAATGATATATACCCTCTCTAGCCATATGCCTGAGGGTATAAAAAGGTGTAGATCGACTTGAAATGTCGTGAAGCGAATCTTGGTTCTAAACCGTTATTTCGACGATGCACATTTCGACCGTATCACATATATCTCTTCCTCTGGCCATATGACTGAGGGTATAATGAATACAAATCTAAACTATTAGAAGTAAGGAGTACATTTTTATGAGGTAGAATTTAACTCAGTGCAAATAGTAAATTACAGCCTTTTTGGATAAGAATGTGACTTACCGATCAAGTTATTGTACTTCCAAAATAAAAATTATATCTGATGGGAATATCGATCCTGTCGTTTTTAGTTCTTTTATATTCACTATATTTCTCTCAATACCTTTCCCTTGCGAATCAACTGCCTAATCCACCTAGCTTAGATGTACTTTTTTGTCATCGAATAAGAACTTTCCATCTGCCATTAGTTAGTAAACGTTTTATCCCTGCGCTAGGATGTGTTAATTGAAAATGAAATTCCTGTTTATGTTCGGCATTATTTTATTTATTTATTATCTCTGGGTTTTATAAATACAACAACAAGGACACTTTCGCTTGTGTCCTTTCCTTAAGACTAAGCATTTGACCACACCGAATCCCCTTCTCCTCCCTCAATGGAAATGACATGGTACTACTAACAAGCCAACGGCCTGTCTGTGGCGATATTGGCTTCGAGATAAAGGACAAGATGAGTGAAATAAACTGGAATGGAATTGGATGTTGCTGCAGACGAAAAGTGAATCTGATTGTTGGGTGGAGGAGGGGATTTTGTGTGTGGCGGGTTTTCAATTCATCGACAGCCAAGATTGAGATATGCAACAACACGTGTAGCTTATGTACGCACTCGTCCAAAACGTCGATGATGGCCGCGATAAGGATGAACCAACGTTTCCTTGCTGTCTGTCGTTGGCTCTGCTTTAGGAGTTGGCGGCGATGATGTTGCTCTTCTCTTGCGCTTACCTATGACTGTTCCCGGTGTTGCAACTCCCGACACTGTGCCCAACTGTAGGAGCAGAGGATTACTGACCAAGGCGGCGGCAATGCCCAATACAGCTGCACTGGCCAGCGGAATGAGAAAGCTTTTGGCCAACAGGGCTTTGTGTGAAAAGTCGGGAAAGGTTTTGTGTGCAGCCGTCTCATGCATGTCTGAGTATGTGTATGAGTATTCGCCACCCGATCCAGCATAGTGACCCTTACCTCCGCCATAGACATCGAAGGGAATGCCATCACCAGGAGAACTGCTACCATGACCAGGATAATAAGGACCGCCGCCATGATGATAGTCGACATGGGGATGTGCAACACTATATGGTCCGGCGTGTGGGGATGAATAGTGGTGGGCACCGCCCGAGGGAACATACTCAACACCATGCCCTCCACCATGCAATGGATTACCATAGTGTCCTGTGGGAGAGAATGAAAAGAGAAAGGGGAAAGGTAGAGGAAGGAAATGTAAATTATGTCCTTGTTTTTATGATTTTTATTTTGCAGTAGTCACAACATTTGTTGCTGTCTCCAACTGCCGTGGCGTTGGTCAGTCAGGCAGGCAGACAGACAGACACCTTGATTACGCATTCATATCACTTACCCACGCTTATTCGGTCCTGTAGCCCCGTCTTGTTTAGTAATGCTCCAAAGAATGCCGTTTTGTTTCTGAGATGCTGCCAAGAGTTGTAGCTGTTGGCCAGATGTATGCCATTATCGGGTGGAGAGTAGTTGTTATTGTTTTTGTTCGTGTTTTTGCTACTCGAGGTGGGGAATGCAATGGGTTTGGAGATGAAACCGGAGGTAAGTTTGTTGTTGCTGCTGCTGTCACTAGAACTATAATATGGATTTGGTACCGCATGTACAGAACCTGTTGAACCTGGACCTCTGCGAAATAGACGCACAATAAAAATATAATTGACAACAATGAAAAGTTTAAGTAATTCAAATAAATTTTGGAATATTATCGAAAAACGTTTTAGTTGATTTTATATTTGTTGGATCTTAATATTGTTCGTAATCCAGTCGATTTTTATTTCAGCAGTATGTTGTAGCACCCTACCGTGGATAGAGTGGACTTTAGGAACTGTTAAGTCTGTTTTGTTTGTTATTTTGAAATATTGTGGCATACGCCTTTATGGGGTTATTCCGAAAGGGTTATCCAATATTTCGTATCTGACCTAAGAGATATATGTATTAAAAATGTCCCCGGTTTTCTGGGGAGGTACTGATATATGGGGCCTATACGAAGACCTGTACCTGCATAGACAATTTTCTGTCACAGACTGTAGTTTCCATTACGAACTCTAAATATGCCTGCCTACTGGAAAAATAAACGCATGGGCAAAATTTTAGCCTTCTATCTCAATTCGTTCGAAAGATAACGTGATTACAACAGACAGACGGATAGACAGACAGACGGACATGGCTAAATCGACTTAGAATTTTACGCTGATCAAGAATATATATACTTTGTTGGGTCTGACATGAGTTTTTCGAGGAGTTACAAACTGAATGACAAATTTAATATACCCTCCATAGTATGGTGGAGGGTATAAAAATATTGGGATGTACAATATGATTCTTATTTCAAATTTTATAAGAGTTATAATTATTCCAATTTTTGACCCTTTGTGAGGGAGGTACCAGGAGGAGAGGACCGATATTGCTCATTTCCGAACTCGATCTAATTTTGATAATAATATTGCGATGTAACAAGTTTGGATCGAATCGTATACTCCCTTCGTGCGTTATCGTGCGCACCAGTCCATCAGACGGACGTACGGACCACCCTCGATCAACTCCAAATATTCTAAAGCAGATTTGGCCCAAAGAGACTTAGGGTTTAAAACCGCTATTTAGATGGGGTACGTTTTGGTTTACCTCTGTAGCCATACAGCTGAAGGTATAATTATCAAAAATTTTTAATTTTTTGAAATTTTAAAGCCAACAGATTTAAGATCGGAAGCCGAACTTATTTTCTATAATTAAGAGGATTGGTCAGTAATGGAATTTAAATTAAAGAAAAATATAGAAAAAAAAAAAAACGAATCTGACTGCCCTCTTTACCTTGTGAAAACTGAAAGTCTTATGGCCAAATCAGTAAAATCCTTAAAATGGAGCATTTTTATACCGTACACCGCAAGGTGGTCAGGGTATTATGTCTTTGTGCATTTGCTTGTAACAGGGAGAAGGAAGCGAGATAGACCCATAGTTACTTTTGAGGATCTTCGCATAATCACTTTCTGACTCGATTTATGCATGTTAGTCCGCCTGTCCGTCCGTCCGTCGGTCATGCAGGTCGCATTTATTATCCGATTGAGATGAAATTTTCCCAATCAAATTTGTTTGTCCCAAGGACAAGCCCTATTGAAATTGGTGAGAATCGGTTCAAATTTACAAATAGTTCCCACATATATCTTTAACCGATTTCGTGTTAATTGTGCACCAAATGGCCAATATCAGTCGAATTTTCTTGAATTTTGGCAAATTTAACCGAACGAGTACATAACATTTGGTGAAAATTGGTTAAGATTTAGCTATAACTTCCATATATATGTTTCACCCGATTTGGGGTTTTAAGTGCCTCACATGCGTAATATGAACTCCACAGTACGGATACTTACTCTGATACAGCTCAGAAATAAATTCCTAAAATGTCGGTTCATCGGTTCATATATATCTTTATCCGATTTCAGGTTTATTGCGCATTCAGCCTAAATGGCCTGAATTTTGACACCTCAGAATGAATTCAGCCCAGAAGCATGTACTTAAGTAATGGTAAAAATCGGTTCAGATATAGCTATAGTTCCCATATATGTTTCATCCGATTTGGTGTTAAATTCCCTCACATTCGTAATATGCACTTCACAACATTGATATTTGATACCGGACATGAGATACAGTTCTAAAGTACCTCTGCCAAATTTTATCGAGATCTGTTCAGGTTTTTTTAAGTTTCGATAGACATCGTCATCTAATCTTACGGTTATTGTCCACCATTTATGCAACATCAGCCCAAATTGGATAGATTTTTTCATATTCAATCGATTTTCCATTTGGTGAAACTCGGTCCGGTATCCCTTTTGCTCCAAAAAATATTTTTTAATATAATCCTGCTTGAAGTCATGTCTGTAATAGTGTCATCTCTTAGGGAATTTCAGTTATAAGCTAATCATAAATACATGTCTCCGGGGAATACTTCGAGGTGTTGCAGATGGAACGATAAATTTACTATACCCTCCAATTCATGGTGGAGGGTATAAACCTTAATATGAGGAGTGTTATTAAAATAGAATCGACAGAGTCGCAATGTAATTCTAAACCCAACAATATCTACCATAGGGTATTACATCTTCAACCCCTCGATTCTGATAGTTTTTGCTCCGTTTATTGTCAACACCAACGACAAGAACAAGGGTGATGCTGACGAAACTGTAAAAAGTTGGAGAGACCTCAGTCTCTCACAACGCCAGCAATTGAAGTTAAAAGAGAAACAAAGAAATTCTAAAGCGTTGGGGTGGCATCCATTCGGTTTTTGGTAGACACATCGTATTAGCCATTCACTGGCCATTATTTGTTGCTTTTAGCCCCTTTTAGCCTTTTAGTTGCGCTTCTCCCCCAACTTCTTGTCGATTTTATCCCAAAAATTTGTTCAAATGTTAAGATTGTCGTTTTTGGTGTTTCCAAAGTTTTTTCTCTTTCGTTTTTTTCGGAAACAAATTTTAGGTTGTTCTAATGTTGGAGGAAGTGGCCGCCAGACAAAAATTTACTAATGCCATAAAAATATTTCATCGGTCGTTTCGTGTTCGTTTTCGTTCTGTTTCATCTACAATGGCCAAATCTGAGGCATATACACACATACATAACCGGTACGTGGCATCCTACCACATTGTTGTGAAATGGAGTTTGAATGTGTTATTGGTAGGGCGTAGAGTTGTTGTCCCAGTGAAAGTCGGAACATTTCAACTTTGCACTTTTTATAATCTCTTTTATATGTTTTAAGGAATTTTAGATTATTTTTGTCCACTTTTTTAGTTTGCTCTGACCCTTCCGGTCGTGATTCAGATTCAGTCCCAGCAAAAAAACTAGAGAAATGACCAATTTGTGAGTGTTTAAGCCACGAAACGGATCGGAGGGGAAAGAGGTTTGCATGCTTTCAAAAGGATTTTCAGTTTTATTAGTTGAAAAACTGTAAATTCCTAACATTTTATGTACCATGGAATATTGCAGGGTACCGGCCGCCACAATCAAAGGTGGGTTGGTTGGCTTTTGGTTAGACATTGTTTGGGTTTGCATTTTTTGTGTTTTTTTGTTCCAAACATACATAAATTTATTTATTTCATATCTGGGGAAATGATTTGGGATTGCAGTGACCGCAAAATATTATGACTTGGCAATGTTTTTGTAGGACCATTGAAAGTGGAGAGTAAAAAGTTTCCTTGGCACTCATGAAATATTAGACAATTGACCTGACCGCCATTGTTGTTAAACGTTTTGTTGAAATTGGAAAATGTTTTTGATATAAATTGCCAATGAATGACCCTGTCATTACTTATTTGTGAATAATTCAAATAATAAAAAGAGTGAAACGGTGATTTCTGTTGTAGAGGGCTTTTGACATTTGAATATTCTTTAATAAACAGGGATGGCATATGCGGCCGAAGGATTTGGCATTTCAAAAGTTTTCATCGTACTGGACTTGATATTGATGATGTTGGCGTTTTACAAAAAACAAGTAAAAAAGCTGTAAGTTCGGCCGGTTCGAACTTTGAATACCCTCCACCATTTGGAACGAATTTGGAAATTCTCAAAAACAATAAAATCCTTTAAAATTTTTTTTAAAATCTTAAAAATACCGAATGTAGCAATTATGTTAGGGTATATACGACGACATGAACCTGCGTAGGTAACATTTGTCATAAGCCATTACAATATTCAAATGCGAAACTTAAAAAAATCGTTTATAATATCGATAAAATCAAAATACCGAATATCGGGAGGTACCGTTATGTGGGGGCTATACGAAGACCTGGACCTGCACAGACAACTTTCTGTCGTAGGCTGAAATATCCGTTACTAACTTCAAATATCAAATTTGAAACACTTCTGGTGAAAAATCTCCCTAAAATCATTAAAATACAAAATATCGGGAGGTACCGTTATATGGGGGCTTTACGAAGAGGTGGACCTGCACAGACAATTTTCTGTCTTAGGCTGTAGTATCCATCATGAACTTCAAATACGAAATTTGAAACAATTCTGGTGAATAAATTCCCTAAAATCATAAAAAATACCGAATATCGGGAGGTACCGTTATATGGGGGCTATACGAAGACGTGAACCTGCACAGACAATTTTCTGTCTTAGGGTGTAGTATCCATTACGTACTTTAAATACCAAATTTTAAACTATTCCGGTGAATAATGTCGCTAAAATCATCAAAATACCGAATATCGGGGGCTATACCAAAGCATACCGTTATATGGCTATACCAAAACGTGGACCTACATTACCCATTTTCAATACCAAAAGTCCTGCAGACATAACATACATTTGAGCAAAATTTTATCAATCTACTTCAATTCGTTCGGAAGCTAGAGTGATTTCCACAGACGAACAGACGGATAGACGGACGGACATCTCTAAATCGACATAGAATTTTATGCTGATCAAGAATATATATACTTTGTGGGGTCTAAAATGTATATTTCGAGGTGTTACAAACGGAATGACAAACTTAATATACCCTCCGTACTATGGTGGAGGGTGGAGGTGACTGACTGACGAGAATCAACGCCAAGACGGAACAGCTCCTCAAATTTGTTATTGAGGTCTCTGGAATTGGTATCTGGAATTGTGATATGGAAGTTGTTTTTGGAAATGTGTACTAAATTAATACGAAAACCGGGCGGGCCGACTTTATGACACTCTACACCACTTTACATATTTAGTAGAGCTTCACATTACAAATAAAGGTTTTTATGAAGAATTTGTGAGAATTGAATCACACTAACTATGATTACAGTTATAATTTAAAGTCCGAAAGAACTAGTATATGAGAGGAATATCCTCCCCTGAATCTATTTCTAATAAATTTGTCGAAACAATTGTGCGTTTTCAGTATTATCAATTGTATTATCAATTTGGTGCACAATTAACTTGAAATCGGATAAAGACATATATGGGAGCTATATCCAAATCTGAACCGATCTTGATAAAATTTGGTAAATGTATATCTGAGTTGTATTTGATATTTCCCCGAATACCGTTGTTACAGAGTGTAAATTAAGGCTGCTGAGGACAGAAATAACCAACCGGATGAACAAAGCAAATCGGACACAAAAATATGGGAGATATATCTAAGTTTTTAGCGATCATCTTCAATTTCAAAAGGCAATTCGTAATGGTTACTACAGCCTAAGACAGAAAATTGTCTGTGCAGGTTGAAGTCTTCGTATAGCCCTCATATAATGGTGTCTCCCGATATTGGGTATTTTGATGATTTTAGCGACATTATTCACCGGAATTGTTTATAGCTCAAGTTTCACATTTAAATATTGTAATGGATTATGACAAAAGTTGCCTATGTAGGTCCACGTCGTCGTATAGACCCTAATATAACGGCTACATTCGGTAGTTTTAAGATTTTAACAGAATTTTTAACGGTTTTTATACCCTACACCATACTATGGAGGGTATATTAACTTTGTAATTCCGTTTGTAACTCCTCGAAATACTCATGTCAGACCCAACAAAGTATAATATTCTTGATCAGCGTAAAATTCTAAGTCGATTTAGCGATGTCCGTCTGTCTGTCCGTCTGTCTGTCTGTCTGTCTGTCTGTCTGTCTGTCCGTCTGTCTGTCTGTTGTAATCACGCTAGCTTTCGAATGAATTGAATTCAAATTTGGTATTTGAAGTTCCAAATGGATACCACACCCTAAGATAGAAAATTGTCTGTGCAAGTCTATGTCTTCGTATAGCCCCCACATAACGGTACCTCCCGATATTCGGTATTTTGATGATTTTAGCGACATTATTCACGGGAATTGTTTCAAATCTGGTATTTGAAGTTCCAAATGGATACTACACCCTAAGACAGAAAATTGTCTTTACAGGTCCACGTCTTCGTATAGCCCCAATATAACGGTACCTCCCTATATTCGGTATTTTGATGATTTTAACGACGTTATTCACCGGAATTGTTTCAAATTTGGTATTTGAAGTTCGTTATGGGAACTACAGTCTGTTACAGAAAATTGTCGGTGCGGGTCCAGTTTCGAATTTGAATATGGTAATGGCTTATGACAAACAATGCATATGTATGTCCACGTCGTATAGACCCCAATATAACGGCTATATTCGGTATTTTTAAAATTTTAACAGAATTTTTTAAGGATTTTATTTTTTGAAAATTTCCAAATTCGTTGCAAATGGTGGAGGGTATTAAAGGTTCGGCCCGGCCGAACTTACTGCTTTTTAACTTGTTTTTTTTTTAATTTGCCAAATTTGTTCCAACTGGTGGGGCGTATTCAAATTTCGGCCCGGCCGAACTTATAGCTTTTTTACTTCTTCATATTAAATTTTGGCTTTTGATAGGTGCTAGAGTTTCTTTTCTGTTCAACAATTATCACAGATCAATTCAGACTTCGCACAGTTTCACACTTTTATTTTTGTTTCGTTCCCACCAACCTGTAAAATTCTGGTGGAGGATCATAGCTTTTGGCCGACACTGATGGCGATGCAGACAAGTCTGCCGCCTTGGTATCGCGTTTCGTTAATCCTTCTCGGTACGCATCGGAATTAAATCCTTCGGCAACACTCGTTGTTCTCTGCAGGGTTGTGATCGGTGTTGGTGATGTGGTGAAATCCGTTTTCACATCCTTCGCATCACTTATCCATAGAATATTGAACATCAATAAAAATAAAACGCCGCAAGTAAATCGAATCGTTATCATTTTCAAAGCGATTTTCTTTTTACTTCAACACTACTCGTTTATTTGTTTTTGTCTTGACATCCGCACAAAACCCGGTAGCAAAATAAACTGAGGTAACAAGTTTTGTGTGGGTGACTTTTATAAAGAGTGGTTTGATTGTTACAAAAACCAAAAAAATAAAATGAAATGTTTACAATTGTCGCAAGTCGAGTGCGCGCGGGTATTACACACTTTGTAACAAATTAAATAGTTTTATGTGAAATTATGATTGTTGCTTGGCTGAGTGCGTGCGTGTGTGTTTGTGCGGTTTTTGAAGATTCATGCATAGGTGTGCATACATGTGTGTTTTTGTAAATTTGAGGATATACACAATTTAAGCCTAATACCGCTGATGTTACGCTGGAGGAAATTTCATTTTCAAATTCAGTGATGAGTGCAAGAAGTCTTTGGCTTGTTGTGTTATTTTACCCACCCACCAAGTTTACGTTAGGCACAACAATTAGTAACGCTATACAGTGGGACAGTAGAGAATTTCATTTGAAAAAAACCTAGTCGGTTTGTCGTCAGTTATGCATATGGCTTGTCTTTAGTTTTCTTATGATGCGACTTTTGAATTTTGCCTAAGTGGAGGACCCTGCTGAGTTTAGAAGTAAAGCAAGATTTACAAGAATGAAAGCATTCTTCTTTCCAAAAAATTTTATATTGAAAATAATGACTTTAAACATTTAAACATTTTAGGAAAACTTAGCTGATAATAATCACAAAAAAAAGAAGAAACAATTAGAAAAGCTGTAAATTCGGCCGGGCCGAACTTTGGATACCCTCCACCATTTGGAACAAATTTGGCAATTTTGCAAAAACAAAAAAAAAAAATAAATAAATAAATAAATAAATTTCGTTAAAAGTTCTGTTAAAATCTTAAAAATACCGAATGTAGCCGTGTGCTAAATCGTTAAATCGACTTAAAATTTTATGGTGATATATATACTTTGTGGGGTATAATATGTATGTTTCAAGGTTTTACAAATGTAATTAAAAACTTTATATACCCTCCATGCTATGGTAGAGGGTATAAAAAAGGAACACTGTCTTCTATATTTTCTCCTAGAAGAAAAAGTAATGATCCTGGACTGTACAAAACCTCTATGAGAATGTCACCATAGGATTTTGATTATGTTCTTTATCTCCTCACCCAATCAACAGAAAATGCCAATACTAATATGCGAGAATCTATATGCACATGGGGAATTCCTAAATGCTGAAGTCTGCAATGCTTTATATAAAGTATTAGTTGAAGCCGGTGCGCTTCGCAACCCCTATTGTTTTATTATTGCAAAAAAAAAAAAAATACCTGCCAACATTATATACGAATATTTTGTTCGTTCGCACATTTTGACCCCATTAAATAGAAACAAACGTACAAACATGTTTTATATCCTCCACTTTAAGAAGAAGAGTATCCTAAATTTGTATCTCGAAATATTATATTTGTCAAAAAATTCGTATTTGAAGTCCGTAATAGGTTATAGCTCCGGTGGCAGAACATTGAGTATATAGATCCACGTTTTCCTATAGCGCACATATAACGGTTCCTTCAATATTCGGTATATTGACATTTTTCGGTATATTGACATTTTTTAACAGATTTGTATGAAATTTGGTATTTGTACTTCATAATGGGTTCTACAACTTCCATCAAAACATTGTCCATATTGGTCCTTGTTATCCCAGTCATATTTACCCACGACATTATGACAAATTTGGTTAAGACTCGCAATAGGTTACAATTGATGTAGTATGAAATTGTCTATATAGGCTCCCGTTTTAGTATGGCCCCATATAACGGCTCCGACTATTCTCCTACCGAACTTACTGGAGTCTGTAGTTTAAAGTGGAATCCAGATTCTTTTGCCTAAAAATATTTTCCTTTATACCCTCCACCATACTATGGAGGGTATATTAAGTTTTCCATTCCGTTTGTAACTCCTCGTAAGACCCAACAAAGTATATATTCTTGATTAGCGTAAAATTCTATGTCGATTTAGCGATGTCGGTCTGTCTGTCTGTTGTAATCACGCCATCTTTCGAACAAATCGAGATAGAAGACTAAAATTTTGCGGACATGTTTATATTGCCAGTAGGCAGGTTAAGTTCGTAATTAGGCCATGTAGGTCCACGATTTCATATAGCCCCCATATTGCGATACCTCCCGATATTCGGTATTTTGATGATATTAACGACATTATTCACCGAAATTGATTCCAATTTGGTATTTGAAGTTCCAAAGGAATACTACGACCTATGACAGAAAATTGTCTATGCAGGTCCACGTCTTCGTATAACCCCTATGTAACTTTACCTCCCTATATTCGGTATTTTGATGATTTTAGCGACATTATCCACTGGAATTGTTTCAAATTTTATATTTGAAATTCGTAATGAATACTACAGCCAAAGAAAAAAATTGTCCGTTAGGTCCACGTCCCCATATAACGGTACGTCCCCATATAACGGTACCTCACCGGAATTCTTTCAAATTTGGTATTTGAAGTTCGTAATTAATACTACAGGTCCACATTTTGGTATAGCCCCCTATATTGATGATTTTAGCTACATTATTCACCGATTTTTTTAGGTTTCGCATTTGAATATTGCAATGGCTTTTGACAAAAACTGCCTATGCAAGTCCACGTCGTCGTTTAGACCCTAATATGACGGCTACATTTTGTATTTTTAAGATTTTAACATTTTATTTTATAGATATAGGTTTGGAGACATTTATACATTCTTAACTCAGTTACCCTTTTCCGGTTTCGTCACAAATTCAAAATTAATCGAAAATATATATGAGAGCTGTATCCAACATCAACCGATTTCAATATAATTTGACAAATACATTTTTAGACCAAATACCGTCACATATTCCAAATAGTATAGAAATAGTAATCGGACGAAAATATATACGGAGCTATATTCAAATCTAAACCGGTTTCAATATAATTTGGCAAATTTATTTTTGTGCCGAATTCCGTTACACATTTCAAATTTGAAAACTGTACCTGTAATCGATCAATAGATATGTGCATACAAAATCTAAATTTTTTGGACTATATCTCCAGTCCAAGTGGAATTTCAAAAATATATAGCCTATGTTACTTTCAGGCGAGGCTGTAGTATATATGGAAATTTTCAAGATAAATTACAAACAAACAAAAATCCAATTAATAACAAAAAAAAAAAAAAAAATACTATTGGTACAGATGCCAGCAACAGAGGGCGAATGCTAGTTATTACCAGTTTAAAAGTAAAACTGGGTGTAACCACGGTATAGAAGCTGTATTTTTATCATCGTTTTCTCCGAAATTTGGGGGAGATATTTCTATGTTGTACCTTCAAATGGAGTGAAGCACACCAAGCTATATCTAACCCGATTTTAATCTATTTATTGTTCATACCAGAGTTGGTAGAAATTCTAGGATGTGCGAATTTGGAGACAACTGGACTATTATTTAACATTTTATTCCGAATTTTGAGCGGAGGAGGTATAACAAATGGAAATTTCGACGGCTTCCTCATTTCGACGTTGTTCAGCTGCAATGTATGGGAATTTGGGTTCGAGGAAGGTATTCGTTTCGTATTGATTATAACCTTGATGGATATAATATACATTTAAACCAACTTTTGTAGATCATGCCAGCCTTTAGAGTTTGAATGGATAGGTTGTATTCGCTGCGACGGGTTCAACTCATTACTGTAGGAAGAGCTCATGATCATGAAGAAATAGAATGCGAGAAGAATTTTTATTTCCTCACGTAGATGGTCCATTGGAAATTGAATTAACTTGCATACCATATATAAGCGCTGCCAAATTGTATGTCTACTACATTAGGACCAATTTAACCAATATATTTTCTTGGAATTTAGTATAAAACTTTATTGATTAATCAAGTTATAATATAATCTTTACAAAGTGGTATAGAGTTTAAATACCTCTGAAAAATCCCGTTGAAATCAGTCGTGTTTTTTTTTTTTTTTGAACTCATAAAACACACCATTTACCACGACTTGCTCCACAGTACCATACTTACCGCAATGCAAAGAAAAAAAGCACTTTTTATAATTTTTCACATTGTTTAATGAAATAATTTTATTTTTCCATAAACATTTTAAACGATGCCGCTCTGTGTCTTTGACGTTAAAGTGGTGACACAATCTTTTAACACAGCCAAATTGGTTAGGCGACATTCGTCATACGTATGTCTGTAGAGAGGTATTCTTCCTCCGATCTGATCTATGACAAAATATAGTAAATTTCAAATACATTTTTGAATGAGTTAGTCAATGCAACGAACAAACATGTCAACGGGATGTAGTAAAATTGTTGTCGCCGCGATATAAAGTGCCACTTAATTTCAGTTATATGCTACCTGCTTTTCCGAGAAGTTTGTCTGCGCCCAGCCACTCGAATCATTGTCACTGACTGTGATAATTGGCAGGTGACGACTGACGGTGCTGGAATATGGCAATGGAGTTGTCGTGAAACCAATTATTTGATTTTACATTTAATTCCATTCAATACGTCATTATGTAATTCAAGTTTCTTCAGCAGTGAATGTTTTAATTAAGGAATGAAGACACACACACACATGTAAGCAAATTTAATGAATTAAATTAAGAAAAATTAAGTTTCGCAATGGCCTTCATTTTTATGTGTAAACATTGGAAAAAGTAAAATCACGTTTTTTAATTATTCATTTTTTTTCTGCACACACATATATTTCACATAAGAGAGAAAGAGGGGGAGAATTAAATAGATGATAGCGTTTTTTTTTTGAATAAATCATTTGCATATACTATACTAACAAGTTCTTGCTACTTCGTATAACTTATTTTAACTCTCTACACCAAGAATGTCTCTAATGCTAAACTTCCAATTTTCAAAATTCAGAAGTATCGTTTTAATATCCTGCTGCACCAAAGCATATACATATAGCTCATACTTTATCTTAGAGTACCTGGAAAGGCTCAAGTGTACAAGATTTCAGCACTCCATT